TTTTTTACCTGCATAATAAACAGTAAAGCTATCTTTGCCATAGCCACTGCCAAGTGATTGAAATGAATAAGAATTTGCACCCTCAACTTTTTTACCTGCATAATAAACAGTAAAGCTATCTTTGCCATACCCATCGCCAAGAGATTGAAATGAATAAGCATTTGCACCATCGACTTTTCTACCTCCAAAATAAACATTTGATGAATCTTTCGAATAGCCTCCATCCAAAAAGATTAGAGTCGATCTTGCATGATGGTCAACACTGATCATATTTCGTTCATCCTCATTAATATCACTTGAATCATCACTTTTGTCGCTTTCATCCAATAATGGATTGTTCTTGACAGTTGCTAATAAGCATATGAATAGAACTAAGACGGCCCTAAATTTCATCGTGAACTGAAACAGAGAAATCTATTCTTTTTATTTGTCTGATGAAATTTTTTGATGAAAATCAACGAATCATCTCATAAAAATTCTTATATGAAGATCATTGAAAGAACTATTTCATCATAAATCCCACTAAATGCAGTTCAGTCAGATAGATATCTCGAAAAAGCACAAGTTTGGCAAAAGACGAACATCATGCTAGAAGTATCTGTACAACATCTTAAATCATACAGAAAAACATCCATCTTTTGTCTGAAATCAAAGTCGTTTGTGTATCGATGTATCAAATACGTTCTTCTTTCAGGATCTCTGGCTGACTGCATAGTTCCATGAAATGACAATCTACGTCATGTTAACATATAGTGTTTTTTGAACTGTTCGATAGATAAAATTCTTAAATGTTAACTTGATCTGTCACAAAAATCTCAATATGATGTGTTCTAAAATGTTAGTTTTGCTGGAATTTTCTAAGTTACCTTTGCAATGATCGTTTGCTGTTCGTTCTGCCTACTCTACTCAAAATTTATAAAGTAATATGCATGCACTTCGATTTTTTCTATTTTTATTGCTTTTATATATTTATACTAGTTGTACTATATTAATATGAATATTTTTTCTTTCTGTCTCAAACCCTTGCTGCTCAGCGGTAGTTTCTTGCTCGACGAAATAATTAACGATACCCATGGACGCTACTGTCAACAATAATTATGAATATACGCATAGCAATGTCAACATCGTACATGTTGAATACGAGAGAATGAGAGAAAAAATGTCCTTGAAAGACATTAATTTGAAAGTATACACCTAAGATTAAACAATCCAGATTCTCAAGTATGATTCAATGTGGGTGTGAGTGTAGGATGTTGGGGTGAGAGTGTGCGTGTGGCTAAATGCTACACCCACACCCACGATGACATCTTCGGTGATTTGATTTTCGAAATTTTAATTGTTCGGAATTATAATTTTTCGACATTTTGCATTTCGAGATTTTTAGTTTTGAGATTTTTCTTTTCGAGCTTTTTTTCGGGATTTTTACAGCAATTCAGATAGTAACTCTTTTTTTTTCTTCCGTCTGAATTACACATGCATTTTTTGCTTGTCCTTTCTGTGAAGAATGAAGAAAAGAATTGCTTCTGGTATTTTCACCAGGGTTGCTAGATGAAAAACTTAAAAATCAGAAATTCTTGTTTTCAAAATCGGAACTTTTTTTCCGAAATTGGAAACTAATCAGAAAGAATAACTTTTTGCAAACCAAGGACTATCATATTGACATACTTGCATTAAATGCTTTATCTTTTTTGTTTATCGACTCATACTTTATTTCAAAAAGTATTGCATTCTGAAGAAAGACAACACAACCATTATATAGCTCAGAGTAAAAGACCGTATACTGTAAGCTAAAGAGATTGATCATAGATGGATCAAATAAATGCTCTCACTGTCAAACCAACTAATTGAAAATATGAGTTGCCAATAGTGTACACACACCGAGATGTTTAAATTTCAAGATATTTACAGTTTATCGTGCCCCACAGTACGAAATTTCATCAACGGTTAGTTTTCTTTTTTCGTCATGGTTGGATGGAGCAGCACCATTTACATAAGAAAAAGCAATATCACGCATATTAAAAAGCAAATTCTACGAAGTCTAAGGCAACACTTTTTTAATTATAAGAGTAATAAACAAAAAATTTTAATTGTTGTCAAATTGCTTTTGAATGTGTGTAATATTGCTTCTCGTTATGTAAATAGTCGTGTTCCATCCAACTATGACGAAAAAAGAAAATTAAGGGTGGGTGTGTGGGTGTGGGTATTCACTTCTCTTTATCCTTACCCACACCCACATCCACATCCACACCCACACCCACACCCACACATACACCCACATCCACATCCACACCCACATCCCACACCCACATCCACACCCACACATACACCCACACCCACATCCCACACCCACACCCACACCCACACCCCACACCCACACCCACACCCACACCCACACCCAC